TACCGTCGAAGAAGGAGACGATCTCCTCGCGGGTCGACTGCCACGGAAGACCTCTGATCCGCACGACATACCCGTCCTCTGCCATCGCTCGCACCCTCTGTCCACTGGATGTCCCACTTCTTGAGCCGCTATTAACGCCTAAATCCGATGCAAATCACATGAAAACACATTTAACTCTCAAATCATTTGTTGTTTTCTCATCAAAAATACCGACAAATCTCTGTTCAGTTGGACGGCGTTTGACGTCAACTAGACTTATAAGGCATACGCCCGGCGCGTGACCGGCATATTCAATAGGCGTCCATCCGCATAGTTATAATGATTTTAATGAATCTAAAATGAAATGGTACTTGGAAATAGACAAGTTTTATAAGACATATTTATTTGTAAGGTGTATAACCCTGGACAATTTATCAGGAATGTGGTTCATTATGGGCGCGGGCGGTCGGGCATATTTGTTATGTACTCGCAATATCGTCTACACCTAATTATATCATAGCATCTATTACGACACCAAATGATAACTTTTATGACATGTATTTCAATGTATTTCAACAGATTTATGCTTATTATTAGGTATTTATAAATCAATGGTTTAGATAAGTCATAGTTTTGTAGTTAAATAGTATCAAAGTGGCCATGCTTATGTTTGGCACTAACAAAATGAGCAATGTCAACTCACAATTAATAGCCGTTATTGTCTGGCATAACTTTCCCTATGGATCGCCATATTACAGCAATTATAATACAGTCAATTCATTTTAAATGCTAATTTCCAACTAATTATAATAGGTTAAAATCTACTTTTAGAGCCGGGTAACTGTGTTGCAAAGTCAAATAAATAGTTTATTATATAATTTTTGCAATTATCCATGCTCAAATCTAATTTCATATAACAATTACTAGAAATCTGTATTTGCTGTGCAATGGATTTGACTGTAACTATGAGTCAAATTTGGAAACACTCTCAACTCTATGTCCCATTCATTTATGCTGTACTCTAATCAGTCAAATGGTGCACAGTTTCGAGGGTTTCGCTAGTAATAGAAACGTTGAATTCATTCAAAAGGGTTGTCTGTTTAGCCCCCTCTAAGCGACACGTGATGTGTGGACGCGTGGTTGCAATAGTTTTCCCAACAGTTGACTGTTTGTGACAAACATTGAATCATTGAATGAATGAATGACTCAAACGAATGACGGATTCACTGAACGAGCGATCATTTCATAAGACATTTGCCAATGAATTGTGTTTTGATTCATGAAATCATAATTTATTAGTATTTATATTGAACTCAGTTTTTGTGGCCATAATCGCAAGCATTAGGTGTTTGTCGTAACCATCGCTGGCATCGGATTACACGACAGCGACTGAACACACAGTTAGCGATGAGTTTCCTATTGTAAGTATAGGTGATAGTGAGTGAAGTGATGGTAACTATAATGAGATAATTGATGTCCGGATGCAGTGGTTCGCGATCTAACAAGACGTTTAAGCCCAAGAAGAACATCCCGGAGGGCACCCATCAGTACGACCTCATGAGACAGGCGGCCGCCACTCTGGGCTCCGGGAACTTAAGGCTGGCTGTGATGCTACCCGAAGGCGAAGACCTCAACGAGTGGGTCGCCGTCAACAGTATGTGTCCACTCGACGAGCGAGTCTGTTGTCACCCATTCATTGATCCATAAAATGCATGCATTTCTCGCCATTTGATGATTGATTGCGTTTTGCGAGTCAACCCAACAAACAGTTGTCTCTCTCTCTCTCTCTCCTCTCTGTCTCTCTCTCTCTCTCTCTCTCTGTCTCTCTCTCTCTCTGTCTCTGTCTGTCTGTCTGTCTCTCTCTCTCTCTCTCTCTCTCTCTCTCTGATCGCAAAACCTGTTTATCATTAGTTTTCTCATTCATTAATAGCCTTTTGTTTTTTAACACAATATTATATTTTTAATAAACTATCGATTGTTTCGTAGGTTTTGTTTGTTTCGACACTTTATCTCGCTTTACATAATATAACACATATTTAACGCAATACTAGATTAGCCCTAATATATGAATGCAAACACTGTTTGTTATCCCAAACACCGATAGTCTGACAAACAGTTTGACACTATTTGTGTGTTAATCACTTAATTTTCATTACACTTATCGCTGAAAATCTCTTAAAACAATTAAAAGTAGTTTCCAAATGACTGGATATATTGGTGTAAATATAGTAAATGCATTGTTTGGGTCTTAGGGCTAAACCATTATGAATAGTGAACAGGAAATACATTTTCCGGGAAATAATGATTAATAGACTATTTGTTTAAGTGATGTATTGATCGCATTAGTAATGGATGTGTTTGTGTGTAAACAGCGGTCGACTTCTTCAACCAAATCAATATGTTGTTCGGAACTATCACTGAGTTCTGCACAGAGGACTCGTGTCCACTCATGTCGGCCGGACCTAAGTATGAGTACCATTGGGCTGATGGCCAGACCGTCAAGAAGCCCATCAAGTGTTCGGCGCCTAAATATATCGATTACCTGATGACATGGGTTCAGGACCAGTTAGACGACGAGACACTGTTCCCCTCCAAAATAGGTATACCCCGGTCTCTCACGCACCGGTAGATAGTTGATGACAGTTGTGTATTGACTCACGTGTTGTTTGCTGTCCACACCCACAGGCGTACCGTTTCCGCGCCATTTCAATACGATAGCGAAGACAATACTGAAGCGCCTGTTCCGAGTGTACGCCCATATATATCACCAGCACTTCGCCGAAGTGGTCCAACTGGGAGAGGAGGCGCACCTGAACACCAGTTTCAAGCATTTCATATTTTTTGTACAGGAATTCAATCTAATCGATAAGCGAGAGTTGGCGCCACTCAATGAGCTCATCGACAAGTTGGCCACCGGCGGCTCACACACCCATCACTCGGCCCTCCATCACCCCACCCACGGCGACCGCCAGAGCACCGACAGTACCGGTCATATATCCTCACTTCCGGCCCGTTGACACCGACCATCACTACCAACTTCCATCAGTCTCTATCTCCGAGTGCCTTAAAACTTATCGATCAATTAAATGGTGTTTCAATTGTTTGAACACTTTTTTTGTTAACTAATTATAATTATATTATTTATAGAATTTTTTGTCATTTTTCTGAACCTATTTTGTTTTGTTTTTTCTTAGCAAATCAGGAGAAAGTGCTTATTATATACACACAAAAACTTATAGGATTTATATATTTGTTTTTATTACGAATTTTGTTATTATAATTACACAAAATGTGCTGACATTCAGAGTGACAGCAGTTTGTTTGCCTTCAAATGTGGGCTTAAATTGCGATAATTGGTTGCAAAATGAATAACACATTTGTTTATATAATTGTCTCTTTGCCACGATTTTTCCGTACCATAAGAACTCATTTGTTTTATTGAAATCGTTTTAAATTTAACACATTTACTGCAGTTGTCAATGCTTTTTATCACTTCCAATCATTTTTGCTGCAAAATATAAATAAAAACGTCTATATAACAAATGATATACAAATTTGAATGATATTTTTTGTCATACCGGTACCACTTGGATATGAAAATGTTTTTCGCACATTAATTAGTGATTTCATTATGAATTAAAATACTGTTTTTAACTGATGTATGAAAATGTCTGCTTTTGATTTGTTAATTAAATTATGATGATTAGCGGTATTTAAAAATATCTATGGATTTGATTTGAATTAAACTTTTTCGTGTGAGTCAAATGTTTCGCCAAAATATTTTCAAATACTTGTCAAAGTAATCGGCGATTTGTTCATAGTTTGTGATTTGTTTGAACAAAAGTGGTTTTTTGTTTCATATACGAGTCGGACCACTAGTTTTTGTAGTTATAGTCCTGTGAGTTTTAATAGTATCTCGCAAATTAATGATCAAGTTCCTTTGAGAGACTTTTTTGATTTATCACTTCCAATCATTTTTGCTGCAAAATATAAATAAAAACGTCTATATAACAAATGATATACAAATTTGAATGATATTTTTTGTCATACCGGTACCACTTGGATATGAAAATGTTTTTCGCACTTTAATTAGTGATTTCATTATGAATTAAAATACTGTTTTTAACTGATGTATGAAAATGTCTGCTTTTGATTTGTTAATTAAATTATGATGATTAGCGGTATTAAAAAATATCTATGGATTTGATTTTAATTAAACATTTTCGTGTGAGTAAAATGTTTCGCCAAAATATTTTGAAATACTTGTCAAAGTAATCGGCGATTTGTTCATAGTTTGTGATTTGTTTGAACAAAAGTGGTTTTTTGTTTGATATACGAGTCGGACCACTAGTTTTTGTAGTTATAGTCCTGTGAGTTTTAATAGTATCTCGCAAATTAATGATCAAGTTCATTTGAGAGACTTTTTTGTGCTTTTCATAATTCTTTGGCTCTAATTTGGTTAAGTTTTTTAGCGATAGGAAGTAGTCTTTAAATACCTGCGATATCATCCTCTAATAGGCCATTCATTGCTTGAATATTGATTGGAGTGAAACAATATTATTATTATTACCAATACTTTGTATAATACTATATTTTGAATTTATTAGTCAAATTTGATAGGCTTTCTGTAAGACTAGTGACTATCTCTAAATACAAATATATGAATAATTTTTATGATTAATATTAAAAACCATATTTAATTACTTATAGTTTATAAAATAACTCATAATATATTCATATATTTGTATTTAGATATAGCCTAGTCTTACAGAAATCCTATCATTTATATAAACTTACTTCCAATGGCAAAGGCTATGCATACAATATATTTGAAAATCATTTGATTTAGAATTCACACAAAATATATTTAAATGTAGATATAAATACTGAGGACATTTTAAATACCATATAATAAACTATACAAAATTTAATATAACATATTTTATAGTTTTGCTGTAAAATTAAAGTCAATTGAAATATAATATCGTAACCAAAAGGGTTTAATAATTTTATGTTTATTAAACTG